ACTACTTATTTTTATGTAGAAGCAATAAAGAGTAAACGAAAAATAAGGGGAAAACTTGGTCACGTGGTACAAATTCACGTCTGCCGTTTGGCATAAACGTGAATCGTAATCTCTCTAATGAAGCTGTTTAAACGCCAAGCGATAAAGTGTACGTTTTGTCTTCAGTCGGCCGGTTTTCCTCGAGAATCGAGGTATTTAGTCTGAAATATCAGCCGTCTCCTCCCCCTACACCTGTGAGGGGCGCGCGGGGTGGGGGGAGAGACGCGTATCCCACGGGTTAGGAGCAGGAGACGGATGACATTTCAGACTACAAGGTATTCAATTCCAATTTGATTTGAAAACAGATGTTCAGAGGAGTGCCAGCATAAGGACTAGTTATAGACTTACATGCCGTATGGTTTATTTTGCAGACCGTATTTAGCAATTTCGTTGGACACCCTGAGTAGTAGAAATACATTTATAACGAATAGCTTGAAGTTTGTGCATTAGTATAACATTCTCGTCAAACTTAATAAATGATAGCTTCTTGTCTTGGTAGGTATGGAAGCAAGTGCCCACTAAAACAACGGAAGTCCTGGAAGAACTCAAGGCTGTTAAGGTGAGGAAACCCTTGTTACAAAAGCAACTTAGTGTACAAGGGGTTAATGCAGTCGAACCACGCCCAAGCGACCAACCAAAATGCAAAGCGTAGTGGTCGCTTACGGGTGGTGGTCGTTCACAAGAATCGAACCTGACATATTTTCTTTGCGGAAGATCATGGCTAAGCTGCAATATATGTAGTTGTCCCTAAAGCTTCTATACTCAGGACAGCAAAGTACATAACAAATGGTAAATTGAGCATCTTCTTTAAACATGGCATTAAAGTCGTGTTTTATTTTTTCCCTCGCCAGGTTTTGTTGAAAACAGACAGCTCTTGGTTGATGAAAAGTGAGGCTTCACGTGACAAGCCCACAATTCCTTGCTTCCTATTGTTTATAATTCACGTGCAGCAACAAGAACTTGGAGGCTTCACGTTGCCTAGCGACATGTACAAATGGACCAAAATGAGGTAGACGGTGTTAATATGTTGGCCATCGACACTGCTCCCTCTGAAAGGAAAAAGTCAGAAAATTAAAATTTGACCAGCGTTAACAACACCATGAAATGAGCACGATGGTTAATGAATATTTGTTTAAAAAATGAGCAGGAGTGTATGGATCAGGTTTCAAAACTGTCGGCGGGTATTTAAACTTGATAATACGCGACTGCGACTTTTTTTAACTGCTTCCAAATCTCTGATATAGATCAACTCGTTCTTGCACTAATATTTAGATTTGGGGTTATTTTGGTCTAAAAAATTGGACGTAAATTTTTAGCTGTGTTCAGATTTAAAGAACCTCATCAAACAAAAATTTATTTTGTTTTTTCTTTATAAGTTATTAATGAGTCTTTGAATTGTGAATTGTACCTCAGTACTGCGTCCACACTCCGGCTGAACTGCTAAAACCACCTAGTATAGCACAATAAACAATTGTACCCGCTCTCAAATAAGTCCCTCCTTCTAATATATCCCTCTCTTCAGGGGAAGAAAGTTATTCATCCCCCCGCCCCCCGAACCTTTCCCATTTCCTTAAATGATAGACTGCATTGATAAAACATGACTGTAAATTAGTTTAATTTATTTTGCTCTCTTTTCTTTCAATTACAGATCCGTGGCTCGTTTAGTGGATCAACTTAGATTGTTTAAGCAAATGCGGTACGCCTTTCAGGTTGATGAGGATTTGAAAGCAAGACTAAAACAGCGCATTCGCGAAAGCAAAAACGAAAATCTTCACGCCCTTGCTTCAGAGAATGCCAGTAACTTTCACTTATCTTCATCGCATGGCTCAAGAAAGTTTCACGATGCTTTTAAAAAGATGAAAGCTACATTTGGCGGCCATGGAAGTTAATCATTTCATCTCAGTAATTTTCAGCGGTCGTAAAGCCGAACTTTGGATTGAATCTTTTTCCTATCTTGTAACTGTATAATAAATTATTTCGAGATAGTTTCGAGTTTTAAACACACACCAAAATTGTCATGAATAAGCCATCTTAGGTAATTTTAAGGTTATTTCATCGCAAGTTTAGATTCAAGTTTGCTTTAGGCATGAAGCGTGGGTGTAATTTAGGTTTGGCATATAGTCTTTTGCAATTACAAGTTGACAAAGGCTGAGATTTTTCACCCGACTTGTATTAAATGCTCACACTAGTTAGGATTTTAACAATTTATTTTATTTATTTTATTTTTTAGAAAAAAATTAGACTATTTATATTTCCAAAGGAAACTCCATTTTCCACCTACGGTATTGTAAATTTGTATGAAATACGGTTTTGTGTAATATTTTATTTGATATTTTTCTGATGATTTTAATAATACCTTCTCGGAGATACACTTCGAGCTATATTTTATTATTTTCAGATTAATCTAATTATTTATTTACTTATTATAATGGTCGGGTTTCCCGATAATAAATTAAAGAAATAGAATAGCAGAAAATGATGAAAATTTGAATAAAAAGAGTTGTCATTTTGAACATGCTTTATCGCATAGCATTTTTCTTCCTTTTGAACGGTGTAGAGATTCACCGTCGTTTTTTTCAATCGCCTTAAAGTTACTGTTTTAGCACATTGGCCCTAGCTTTACTTGTCTTCTTACACAGTCGAAACCTGAGCCTTATTAGCCTTTAGGTTTTTGTGGATCCAATCAAATAGAAGACGAAATTCACTTTCTTTTTAATTGTTCTGGATACTCTTTGATAAGGAATAATTTTTACAATAAAGTTAAGATTCTGATTCCAAATATTACCCAGTTACCTGTGAACGTTTTGATAAATGAACTGATGAACACATCTTATTCCTTTCCGCAATTTGATTGGCTCAGAGCAGTGGTATTTCAGGTTAATATGAAATACCTACGTGTGAAAATTACAAACCTTTTACTGGTAGAAGCATAAACAAATAATAGCATGATTTGTACGTGATATTTGGCATAAATACCACTTGTGATATTTCAAAATTGTCGCAAATTTCACTCGCCTAACGGCTCGTGAAATTATGTATAACAATTTCGAAATAGCACTTGTGGTATTTACGCCAAATATCACTACAAATCATGCTATTACCTATAATTATACCACTACATGAGAAATTTCTGCAATTTGATTGGCTTAGAGCAGTGGTATTTCAGCTTAATTTGAAATACCTACATGTGAAAATTGCAAACATTTTGCGGGTAGTAGTATAAACAAATAATAGCATGATTTGTACGTGATGTTTGGCATAAATACCACTCGAGATATTTCAAAATTGTCACAAATTTCACTCGCCTAATGGCTCGTGAAATTACCTATAACAATTTCGAAACATCACTCGTGGTATTTATGCCAAATATGACTCCAAATCATGCTATTACCTATACTAATTTACAATTCATGAAGTATATTTCAGCTTGCTTTGACTTTCGCGACGAATTATTTACAAAGCAGTTTAATTGGTCGGTGATTAAATTTTAGTACTTATTCTTAAAACATAATTATAAATAGCTTTTGCAATACTGTATGTACTTGTACGGTCCTGCAAATAAAGCTCGTTGTTAAGGTTGTTGTATAGGTAAGACATTTTGCAGACTCGTTCACGTTTGCCTCCTATGTGTAGGTAGCGTGGCCAAGAGGTTGGAGCGCTGGACCCCCCCGCACCTTCTATTTTTCGATTATAAGGCACTTGCTTGCACATCTCCCATAATGCACCTTATTTGCCCCCAAAATTTTGCATAACCTTTGTTTTTCATTTCTCCTGGGTATTACAGTATTAACGTGTATTGTCAGGGGAGATGTGCCAGAAGGGTATTGCTATTAATAGGGACTTTTAGCATTCACGACGGCGACGGCAGCGAAAACGTCACTTTTAAAAGGAATTGGCGTTTTTTCCAACTTTGTCGCGTTTATTCCAGTGGGACAATTGCACGATGACGACATTTGACTGTTAATCCCGCTGAGGTTTAAAAAACAATAGTCCTAATTTCCACAAGAAAACAACAAACTGAAGGATTCCGGTAGTTGTAGTAAAAGTTCGTCGTCGTGCAATTTTCCCATTCGCTGAAAATAACTAATGTAGGAAAATTTCCCCGGGGGTTGATTTTTTGGGGACCGCACTCAAGTTAAGAAACGGAAAGAAAATTTAGTCCGTTCGACGCTTGTTTACGTCGTCCATAAAACGTGAAATTAGGCATTTTCACGTCGTAATTGTGCACTAAAAAAAACGGCAAAGAAATGTACAAAAAAGCGTTCAAACTTATTGTTTTGCTTATTGTTTTGCTCAATAAACTTGTTGCTTTTATTTATTTATTTTTTTTTGACGTTCTCGTTGCCGTCACCGTCGTCATTGCTAAAACTCCCTATTATTGGGACACCCATCGGGAGCCTCTGCCGAGGAGACAGTATTTACTGGAAAAAACAATTTTGGTGTTGTCTCAGGGTGCCGGGTGGGGGCATTTGCACCCTATTTTAAAGCCCCACCTTGGAGTTTTTGTATGAAACGCCCGGGCCTAACGTGGGGCATTTGCAGCCTTTCCAAATCAAAATGACAAATGCCCGGGGGAGGGGGGGTGGATGGCAGGCTTGGAATTGACTGAGCCATAAACTTAATTTGCAGAATTAAAAACCTCGATGACTCACGAGTGGCATTTTTAAGCTACTTCTCGTCTTTCTCTCGCTCTATGATGGCAACTGAATTTTACCCTCAAATTACATATATAATTTTTCCCAATGAATAGCTCTAGGGTGATTAATTTCTTTTCATATTTCCCATTTATGTTTTTAGAAATTTTAAATTTTCTTTTTATTTCTGCTTTATGTCATAGGACACTTCATGGTAATGTACACGCAATTAGTTTTGCTTCAGACAAGAAAGCAGCCAATGAAAACAACCTAAGAACACCACGTGATACATGCGACCGTTTGCGGGTGTTTTCAAATGCATAAGAATGCAGGTTTTTTTGTAACGTGTTTCCTCACAAGAAATATAGAAAATTTTAGTGACTTATCAAGTAAAAATGGAAGTTGACAGGTAAGAGAATTCCTTCATATCATTTTTAAAACCTCCATACTTTGCCTGAATGCAAATCACACACAACTTTCGGGAGTTTGCAACAGCTCGTCGTTTCGTCATGATGGCGGACTCGACGACTGCAAGAACTGCATCCACGGCCGGTCGGATTTTACGGATGAAATCCAATGTGATTTGTTTTCGATTCCTTCCCATTCTGTTTTCGGGATGTTTTTCTCAAGCAAGGGTGGTAATCAAACCTGTTTGTTTTGTTGCAGTACAATTTAAACTAGCTTCTAAAGCTTTAAGATGAATAAGCTTAAATTCAATCGAATACCTACCTCCATCAAATTTGTTACAAAATTTGTCGGCTGTATTCACAGGCTGCACAATTTGATCGAAGTTTTTAAACGCTGTTTTACTTGTTTCTATCCATGTCGATAAAGCTGGTTCTTTTTTAATTGGTTTTCGTGGCTGACTTGATAATTATTTTTTTACTTTTACTTTGGAAATTGACAAAGTTCAATTTGTACCTTACACACGTACACGTAAGCTAAATCATTCACTTTGCACCAGTGAAGAATATTAAAGACAGCTGATTACAAGCTAACCTCCTCTTATTTCAGCTCTAACAGGAGCAACAATAGAAATCTTTCCACATCAAACGTTGAAGAGAGCGTCCAAATGATCAAATCGGAAGTGATACCATGTCTGCAGAACGCAATGGAGACACTACAGAATATCTGGAGCGAAATTGGTTTGCAAGAAGATCAAAAGGAAGAAAGGACTAAAACTGTGTTGTATCATCTTCGAAATTTACTCCAAGAAATGGTGAACGAGGAAGAAGAGTTAAAAAGCACGCTTCAAGCAAATGTGGAAACTTGTACAAAGGAGCTAGAAATGTTGAGTGGAGAATTGGGGCTTCCAGTTTTCAAGGTATGTAAGATTTTTTTTACTTATTTACATGCTGGTCATGGAGAAAAGGCTTCTATACAATATTGTATACCTCAACACAGGAAAAAAAAGTATTGTTCTAAGGATGCATACATGTACAATGTAAGCTTATGTTACCGGTAAAATTTGATTTCAGGTTTTTGTTTATAATTTTGGTTTAACCTAGGTTGATTCACAATTTCCTTTGTGTCCTAGCCCTAGAAAACAAAGCAAATTGATATCAACCTGTAGATTGATTATCAACATTTCAACCGGGATTAATGTTGCAGCATTTAATTTTGTCTTGATAGCCAGAGAAACCAATGAGTATTCTTATGCTAGAAAATGAACTTCGAACAAAGGTGGACAGCCTCAAACTGGTATGTTGTAATAGTTGACTTTCAATACTCCTTTTCATTAAATAAATATTTAAAAATTATTCCACTGGTGCACATTGGATATGAGATGGTAGCAAACAAAGGGCATAGCACTGACTTGGCTATAATCTTTATCCAACAAGTGGAAGTGGAATAATTATTGTTTTATTAAAAACACCCACAAAATATCAAGAATTCTTCTTGACTTGTAAAAATAACGGTTTTTCATCTTGTTTTTAATTTTGAGCAGACGTGTACAGTTACCATATTTGGAGAGCATGGTATAATGACACATATACCATGATGGCTAAGCCAATCAGAGCCCTAGAATTGCATTATCCAATGATTCAGTTTTTATAATAATATTTACTCTATAAATTATTAATGCTTTTTAGTTGCTGACTATTGTGCTCACAAATTTCAACTCAACCCAGTAGTCATGATGTAAACGTTGCCTAGTCCTGGTGGACAGTCTCTTCCAAGCCTTCTCAGTCAATGCATTTGAAAATGACTTGTCCGAGATGAACAGCGTCACAAACTGGCTTGGACCAAGTGACCCAAAATGCATGGGCTGTTCAATAATGATGCTTAGGCAGTGTTCTCCTTATCAGGCAGTAACTGGTAAATTTTACCGCCTGAGTTGACACTTCTTACCACCTGCAACCGCTTGAAAGTTTACTAAAATTAAATTTGTTGTTTTGAAAAATACACAAGTTGTGATCCGATCCAATGAATTCTCACAAGGAAATGAATGAATTTAATAGAAAAGTAATAAAGTATACACAACTTTTCTTCTTATGGGCTACACAGAGGACATTTGAGACACTGGTAAAATTATTGGAATCAAATTTTTTTAAACTGTTGTCTAAAGATTGCATTTGATTTGCATAAAATAGGTCTTAAAATAAGGGAATGACGTTTCAGAGAACTTAGCTCCTAAATTTCCCAACGAGGTGGGTCCATGTCCCTCACTCTACTACCCCCCTTCCTCCCCTCCCCCCGGAGAGTGCTCCTCTGACACATACTTTGTGCCTAACCAGCAAGGAATGGTCCCTTACCAGCTCAGCTAAAATTTAGGGAGAACACTGCTTATATTCTGGGAGGAAGTGTACTCCCGTGGGAAGTTTGTGCTGAAAGCAAGCCACGGGTCTAGGAATGTTCATTGGCACATAGTAGTCGTGAAAAGTTTTGGTGGCAACTTTGCAACCTGCTCAGACAGGAATTATCGGGGTTAAAAATTTTCATCTATGGACGCCAACATGGAAATGAGACTGGAGTCAAAAATCCCTTGTAACTCCAATAAACAAGCCATTTTGCTTACCAAATTTCCCTCCAACATACAACTCGCTGCTGTTAGTAAATTTTTGACATATTTTTGTTCAATTAGCATGAAAATGAGGCTAAAATACAAAACTCAATATACATGCACCTCTCATATTAAAAGTGTAATGTTGATTGGCAAACTTGGCCACAATGTGAAATTCAAGTAACATAATTTGTTTATGACAGTATTTGTGAATAATGCCTGTCACATGACCTCTGACCATGAAAACGAGACTACAAGAAAAGACACCTAAATTTTACAAATAAGCTAGACCAAATCTGTTGTTACTGCAATATTGAAAATTTAAAGAAAGCAAGAAGCACTCATGAAAAACAGGCCAAATTTTATTCACCAGTAATGTCTACATTTGTTAAGGAATTCACTCTCCTGAGGAAGACTCTTGTGAAAATCTATTGTCTTCTTTAAAATACCCGAGAAAGAAACATACATGTACTTCAAATCATTACCCAGACCCTCACTCATCACTACACTCATCCTCATCACTTTCATCCTCATCATACTGATACTGGTCGTCGTCATGCTGGTTCTCGCATTCACTGTTGTCAGAACAGCTACACAGCGCTGTGCACGGTAGCCCAGCTCTTCAACATTGGCATCAATTGGTTGGTGGTAATCTGTCAGACTCTGCTTGCTTCTTCCTAAACAGGAACTGTCTTAGCTCTTTAACAGTTGTTATATCAGTCCTTGGTAGGTATATTTGGCAGACAAATCTTTCAATAACAACTTTTATGTCAGTACTATAGGTTGCTCCTCTTGACCGAGTTTGGCCAGTCAGCGTTCAGGATGGAATCGTCGGCTTCTAGAAATGCTTGGCTTTCTAACAAGATACATGTACCTTTCCCTTCCCTGAGAGGCTACCAGCATTATCGGCTCCTAAAATGATGGTATGAAATGCAGGTAGTGCAGCCGTCCTCTCAGAACCAAGGGCTTCTGCAATTAACTGTAACTTTATTGATTGATGAGTTGCACCCCTTCCAGTGACAAGTGATGTATTTAAGCACATCTCTGAACTCCATCTGATAGCCAGCACAAGGTCATCAGTGTCTGGTGAATGAATGGTTAAGTCCGTAGCACTGTCAGCAGTGGCATTGAGGGCGTGAAGTATTATCTTTGTATCAGCCTCTTCGTGGTCACTCTGAATATGTCCCATGTCTTTGTGGGTTGCTTCACACTCTTTTCCCCATGCTACAACTGGCTGTCTTCTCAAGGCCTGACCAAACTCCTTTGCTTTCTTTGCCAGCAAAGCAGTCAGTTCTGCCTTCGTCTTTGTGTGTAAGAGCAGTTTCTTCAACCGTACTTTTGTAATATGAGTGGAATCGCTAATGCAGTAATAAACAGGGTCTTCCGATCCTTGCCGTCTGGTTCGTGTGGCAGATTTCAGTGATGCTGGGACATTGTATCTGTCAAAGATTAAACGAATTTCCTGGGTTTCATCATGCTTGCTAAAGAGATGGTTGTGAAAATGTTCTGCCAGGTGTTTGCAAGTCTTGATCCACTCCGGCTTGTCTAATGACTGGATTTCAGCCATCCCATCAACTACACATGTATGGCAACCTTGACTTGCACTTCTGCATTCGGGGTACTGGTTTGACATGTCACCTCACTGCTGGACTCACCCGTGAGCTTCTCCAGTATGTGCTTAAGAGCGCTCTTGCATGGGCAATGCAGCATGGTACCGTCAGGAGCAAAAAGAGACCTTGGGACAACTGAGAATTTGTACAGGCCGATTATATAGTGCTTCCTTGATGCCTACTTCTGGTTGGCTCTTGCAAATCATCATGAGTCAGGCAAAATCCTCGTTCAGCTCTACCACCTTAACAGCAGTTTTCATCTTAATAACCTTACAACTACTTTTCCAAGTCTTGAGCTTCACTTTCCTCATAGTCGACCAGTAGTTAACCTTTCCTGTTTTCAGCCTTTCCTCTACAAAAATGTTGAACAGTTTTCTACCTGTTTCACCATGTTTACACAAGTCATTCTTGATCTCCTCGGACATGGCCACTTTGGTTATTAGATTATACAGGTCAATGTTAGAAGCTGGATCGTAATGCTTACCGAAAAAGGATTTGTAAAGCTCTTAATTGCTGCTATTAACTGCTGTACACCTTTATCCTCTCTTGCTACAATAGCAGTGAAAAGGTTATGATGTTGTTGCAGAGTGTGCAGACACGGCAGCCATGGATTTTGCCTCTGGAGCACTCAGGAAAAACTTTGCTCGGGCACTTTCATTCTGTGTAATACCAACCAGTCCTCCAGACACCTTCATGGAATGGTTTAGGTGCTCCAAGGCATTGTCTGCTCCAACTGCACAGAAAGAAACTCTACTATACTTTGTTGATAACCCAATTTCCATTCATGAACTCTTGGTGAATTTAGGGATCTGATGCTTCCAGGGAAGCCATCTCAGCAAGATATAGTGGAATCATATGAGAATAATAAATTTACTGAGCCTGCCGTGGGCTAAGAAGTACTTTGTGAACTGTTCCAGTGTGATCAGATGCAATTTCCATGCAGTTAATTAACTACCACTTCGAACTGATCTGATAAAGGCAAACATTTACATTAATGATTATCATGCACATATAGTGTCACATCACTACAAACCAAAGACTTCTGTTAAGCAGTGTCGAACTTTAACATCTTTACAGTGACTTTCAAGGAACTGGTGCTGCCGACAAAGAACTGGTGGGCTCTCTCTATTTTCTCTTTCTTGCCCTCTCTGAATGCTTCAATAACTTCTCTTGATAAATTCTCAAGACATTGGTGCAGTTCTGGCAAAGTTTTAGGAAAGCCATCTATAGGTACAAGGCAAACCATGCCTGTAAGGTGATCATGTGTGCTTTTTCACCTCTTTTAATGTGATTACCATCGAGAATCTGCTTAACAGTGAACGGGCCGTACAGTTCTGACTCAATCCAACACATATCGATCCCACTAATGTGCATGCACTGATTAATTGTCCTTAGCATGGCCATGATAATGTGCAACTCACCGGGTTGGAGAATGAGGTGGTTTAAGTCATTTTGAGCCATCTGGAGTTTTTTCGCGGAAGATACAGTCCCACATCAAGAGATATAACAGTCTTCCTTTCAGGGCCATCGACTATGATAGAGATATTCTGAGCTGCATAAGAACTGTCAATAAAGTGTTCCATTTATGCGCAGGATGTACCACTAAGGGGGTGCACCAAAGCGCAGCTTTTGAAATTATTTCTTGTCTTGATGGCTTCATTTCCATGGGATTTCACTGAATCACAGTGTTCTTCTTCAGTATTTTCTTTTAAATCCACTTAGAACAACTAACGACATCAAATGTTATAAATAGTATTTAATGTTACACTTTTAATGCAAGGTATAAAGAGTTTTGTTATATTCCTAGACTTTCACTCAACTAAACAGCGGCAGCCATTGGCTGATTCTTGGTCACGTGGCCTTGACTAAAATCAAATGTATCCCGATCGTGATACATCAAGCAATGTACCCTGCTCGGGATACATTACAGCATGTGATCAGAGCATGGTGGAAAGTGGCGTGACGGAAGGCGGGAAAAACACTGCCGTTTTCTTTTTCGTGAATGAACACAACAACATACAACATTCACAACAACACAAACATGAAGCCTCAAGACTTCGTCTCGGGAAACATCAGGACTCTTGGGAAAACAAAACTAACTGTTTCCCTCGGGATCTGACATTAAGTGTATATTATATTTCAGCCTCATTTTCATGCTACAAGGTCATGTGGCCACTAATTGAACAAAAATATGTCAAAAAATTTACTAAGAGCAGCGAGTTGTATATTGCAGGGAAATTTGGTAAGCAAAACCACTTTTTTACGGGAGTTAAGGGATTTTCGACTCCAGCCTTGTTTCCATGTTGGTGTCCATAAGTGAAAATTTCAAACCCTGATAATTCCTGTCTAAGCAGGTTGCGAAGCTGCCACCAAAACTTTTGATGACTACTATGTCCCAATGAACATTTCTAGACTAGTGGCTTGCTTTCAGGGAAAAAATCCCACGGGACCTTATATTATGACATTTGCTCCCAGACTATTAGCAACTAGGCAAATGTAAGACTAAATCAATTTTAGATGAAAAGGAAAAAGGTGAAAGCCCTCATTTGTCACAAAACATTATGACTCTCAGCATTACAGGAGTTATTATATTCAATAACTTCTTTTCAACTGTAAAAATCTACAGGATAGAGTTAACTTTTATACATGTAGCCCGATGTTTTTTCTTTCTTTCTAGTCCTTTTTTAGTGCAAAGTTTAAATTATCTTAATGGCAATTTAACCTGGTTGTGGAAATCTCCTATTGCAAATACATAGAAAGAGTGAGGCACACAGGCTAAAATAAATAATCAGTCTGCACACCAGTGCTCTTTAGAATTACAAATTCTTCCTACAAAACTTAAGTAAAGAGGATATCTGCCTTCTAAATGAATTTAGTCCGTGATGTGAATTACAATTCAGGAAAAACATGAACGCATCAAAACATTAAAGAGCTTGAGAGAAAAGGAATCAAAGTTTTGCGAGCAATTATTTCTTCCTGCTCATAACCTGGGAGAGGTTAATGTACCAACTGAGGAACAACTAAAAGAGCTGGAAGCAAATGTGCAGTACTTACAAAAGGAACAGGTAAGCTCTTCTTAATACTGATTGTTGTGTTATTTTCTTACAGTGTACATGGTTCAAATCCCTGAGAGCCTGTTTTTTTTTTTTTTTAATGGATTTGACTGTCCAATTTTGAGAGAATGGTGCCACTACAAGCTGTATAACTGCAGCATTAGTTAAGGAGCCTTTGTGCATGTATAAAAAATCCCTTTAATTATTAATGGGTTTATTAAACATGCCCAAAGGCCCTTAACCCATTTGCCACAGGAGATTTTGCTGAAAAACGCGTTTTGGAGCTAGTTGACAATTTTCTTGTCACTGTCCTGCTATTAAGAGCTAAAACTTTGTTACCACAAAGCCATTCACATGTCATACCCTTTGCAACCTTCTGATCCAGATGCAAAATATTAGCTTGCGAAGTTTGGGCATGCGCAGAAAGCAAACTTTCGAGTTTTTAGGTTTAAAAATGACACAGCAGTCTCAACTTTTACTTTTTGTTTTCTCTCCTCCCTTCTTTTTTGCCTCATTTTTTTTTCTTTTGTTGGACATTTAGTAGGCTTCATTTTGGAGGGAAAAGTTTTTAGGAAAGCTTTTAGGATCTTAGGATTAGATGAATTGAGAGGTAGGTGGGTAGTAGAACAGGATTTTCTTGGCAATTTTTGGGTCAATGTTACATGGTTTTTTGCCTTTTTCTCCGGTGTCCTCGAGTGAATTGTGCTCATTCTGGTATGGTTTGAAAGATCTCTTCACTCTGCACACAAAGTTGTCCTCAACCATTAAAACTGAAGATATCACAAGTGGTAGAAGGGACGGGGATGTGGCACTGATCATCATCAAGTCTCATTTCACCAGCACATGTAGGTTCAATAAGGCCTTCACGCTGTTTGACCAACACTTTCTGTCTTGTGCAACCACTTTGGCTACTTTCCAGCTCTTCCACCCAGCTTTGTTTTGCTCTTTCTCGACTGTCCTTCTCCAAGTGGCTTTTGGTCTTCCTCTTGCCCTCCAACCTTCAGGAGTCCATCCTATTGCTGTAAAGCAGTTGCTCTCACCCTCTCTCCTTAGTATTTGACCTATAGCCAGTTCCACCTTCTTTGTCGCACTTCACAGCTAATTTCATTGATCTCAGTCAACTCAACCACTCTCTTGTTTGTCATTCTCTGCTGCCATCTAATCTGCAGTAACCATCTCAAGCACTGGTACTGGAAGCCTGATATAGTAGGACTGGCTGAATTATAAAGTCTTGAATAGACGTATCTTGGTTCTCCTTCCTTCAGTATTCCTCTAGCTGCCCAGACCCTCCTTAGTGTCTGGAATGCTCCACAAGCTTTCTACAGACGGTGCGTAATGTCTTTGCTGCCTCCACCCTCCTTGTCTACAATAGTAACCAGGTATGTAAACTCTTCAAAGTCATCCACTTCTTCGCCATCCACCACAATCTTCTCCCTGCTACTTGCACTCTCAGTCCTTAGTGAAAGTGCACTTTCTCGCATTAAGTTTGACTCCTGCTCAGGCTGCTTCCTCTGCCAATCTCCCAGTCTTTTCCTGCAATGTCATCTGCAAAATCAAGGTCCTCTAGCACTGTTGTGGAATTCCACCTTATCCCTCTTCTCTTGTCTGCTGTTGCCTTTCTCATGACCCATTCCAAGCACAGTAAGAACAGGAATCCCGACATCACACACCCATTTTACTCCTGACTTGATCATAAACCAGTCAGATGTCACATTGCTGTCCACAGCTGCACACTCAAAGCCTGTGTATATCACTGCTATCACTGTCACCATCTTGTCTGATATCCCATAACTTTTCATGTCATTGATATTCCATAAGGCTTTCTCTGTGTACAGAGTCAAAGGCTTTTTCAGAGTCTACAAAGTGTGCACACTCACTTGCCTGCTCTACGATGTTTCTAAGTAAAAAGATCTGTTCAGTTGTAATTCTCTTGGGTCGAAACCCAGCCTGCTCCTTTCGAAGTTTCTTGTCTACGCCTTTCTTGATCCGCTCCAACAGCATCCTCGGAATATCTTACTAATGACAGGTACTAAAGTCACTCCTCACCAGTTGTTGCATTCGCGCAAATCACCTTTCTTGAATACCTTAACAACAAGCTCCCTTCTTCCACACTTTTGGCCACCTCTCAGTCTCCCAAAGGCTGGTGTAACAACTAGTCAGCCTACTTGCAGTGTCTTCCATGTCAGCTCTCAATAATTCCAGACACACCTGATCTACTCTGGCCACTTTCCCTGGCTTTGTCCTCTTCAATGCTTCCTTGACCTCTAGTAATCACCATCTTCCTAGATCTATTTCCTCAATCTCTTCTGATTCTGCTATCTCATCCTCTTCCACAGGATTTGTTGGGTCATTTCTGTTTAATTTTTCACTTAAATGCTCCACCGATCTCCACAGTCTTTCTTTTGTTTCAGTTCTAAGCACCTCTTGTTTGTCCTTAACACCTATTTCTTGTTTCCACCTTTCTCCAGTTATCGACTTAGTAATGCTGTAAACCTCTTGCTCCTACCATTCTCAGCGGCCTTTTCTGCTGCTGCAGCCCTGTGTTCTAACCAATTTCTCTTATCCTCCCTAGCACTCCGTTTCACTTTGTTGTTCTTCACATTATACTCCTTCCTTCATCTCTGTTTCAGTCATTCCGATCTTGCACCCTCCAATTTCAATTTTGCCTCTTTCCTTTCCTTTATCTTTTCACATGTTTTGCTTCCTGTCCATGGCCTTCTAAGTTTCTTTGACCTCCCCAAGACTTTCTTTGCTGCTCTCCTTATGTTGCCAAAATCATATCATGTTCTTCCTCCAGATCATCTATGTCTCCTAAAGCTTCAAACCTATTCCTCATCTCAGTGTCGTACGTACCTCCTTCTGATCTATTCAATTTGCAGTTTACTTTCATCAAACCTTTCCCTTATGTTCTTTCTCCCCTCAGCTCTTGCGTATTGTATCCTTGTTTTCACAAGGTAATGGTCACTGTATACGTCTGCTCCTCTCATTATTCTTATGTCTAATATAGATGTTCTCATGTTTCCATTGACTAGAACATGGTCAATCTGGTGTACTGTCCTCCCATCTGGTGACCTCCAGGTCAGCTTATGGATGTTTTTATGAGGGAAGATTGTTCCAGTTATGATGAACCCATTTGCACTACAGAAGTCACATAACCTCTCTCCATTGTCATTCATAACACCAACGCCAAACTTCCCCATAACTTCCTCTCTATTGGTATTGTTGTTGCCTACCTTAGCATTCAAACCTCCCATGACCACAAACATATCATTTCTGTTACAGCTTGAAACAATGTCCTGCAGCTGGTTGTAGAATTCATCCTTTTCCTCATTCATCGCATCATTAATTTTGTTGGTGCATATGCTTGTACCACGGTCAGTTTTTTGTACTTTGAGTAGAATTGTGCTGTAATGATCCTTTTGCTAATTGGCGTCTATTCCATCAAGGCTCCCTTTGCCCTCGCACTCATCATGATGGCTACACCTCCCCGTATAACCTCATCATTTCCTACATACACCACCTTTTCTACACTCTGCAGTGTTACTGATCGTGTCCCTTTCCATCTGGTTTCTTTTGACTTATCCCTAGCACTTCGATCCCATACACTTTCATCTCCTTAGCTACTTGCCCTGCCTGTGTTGTCTCCGCCATGGTCCTCATGTTCCAGCAGCTCTTGCTTGGGGGCTACTATGGGGCTTATCGACCTTTGGGCTTCCGACTGGCTTTGACCCAAGAGCGTCATTGCAGCCCCAGCAGTAACGCCCTAGGCAGTGTTGTCTCATTATCAACGCTTCTGGTTTCTATAACACTTAGTGAAATTATGGTGTAGGGTTGTTAGCCCTACGCCCAACCCCCAACCTGGAGGACCAGGGGGTCACTCTTTGTCTGGTCTCTACCCTTCAACCTTTTCAGCATGGGTGGCCCTACCAGGAGTACAAGACTCCAGCCTACATAGCTCTAAAGGTCACTGAGACACGCCAACTGCCCCACCACGATAAGGTGGTGACCTCATTCAGAGCAGAATAAATACAAGAACAAAAAAGGAAAATACGCCAATGCAACAGGCACTCGCTATTAAAGGGAAGTAACAACAGTAAGTTAATTGATTACAATATAATACGTGTCATGCCATCATACAAGTTTAGAAAATGTAGTTATAATGATCATGCATAACCTTAGTTCTACAGCTGTAGTACAGTCATAAATACATGGATAACATTTTCATGTTGTGGTTCAGTTTTATCCTTTGTTGAGATTTGATTTCCTTTTACTTCAAACACATGTCATACATTACAGCTGTACACCATGTACATGAACCATGCCCATAGACAAACTAACTAAGGAAAAATGAAGTTGTTTTAAAACCCAGGGATGAAAATTAAGTCATCTTTTATATGGTCCAGTTAGGGAAAATCCGTCAACACCACTGGAAAGAGCGCCTTAATTTAAAATAATTATTAGTAAAATTGCCAACCATATCATCATATCACTTTCAAATTTGGCAAATTTTTTCAGTGGTGTCGACGGATTTTCCCGAACTTGTCCATGTACAAAGTTGAAAAAACCATGAAAAGGTCTGTCAAACCATAACATACATTGATGTAATTGTACATCTTGTTAGTAGACTAACAAAACAGAGCATGCTAAGAAAGTCGTGTCTGATAGTCTGGGGTTAGTGGATTTTGCTATCAGACTTAAGTGAATTCTGTTCTTAACTTTTTGAATTGCTCAACAGGCAAGTGAAGTTTTTTAGGGAATTCAAATTACAGAAGAACTGTAATCAATCCTGCTCATCAAAATTTTTTCTGGCTAGTTAAAAAGACTCTTGGGCTAGTAGATGCTAGATTCAGCCTTCCCAAATGGCAAGCTGTAAAACTTACTTTCTTTGTACCCTGTAAGCAATGCTTTTGAGAGCTTTTGCCATTTTTTATCCCAGGTCAAAAGACTAAATACTTTCAAGGAACTAAGGCATTCCATCCAGACATTGTGGAAAGAGTTAGAGACAGTGCCATCAACATTGATAGGAAAAGAAATGGCTAAGGAAGATGCTGAAACGACATTTAAACTTTCTTCTCAAAATATGGAGGCACTGAGGGACCTAAATCAAGAGGTAAGCAGTTGAACCTCTTTCCTTTGACAATGAAGACCTAGTGTGAGAACATTTAGCAATTGTTGAATTCTGCAGATCAAGGAGGGTGTTATATGGCCTAGGTGGATAACACCCTCTGAAATCTGCAAAATTCTTCATATCTTACAAAGGTTGAAGTTCAAAGATTTATTATTCATTCAAAATAATTACAAGCTAAAACAGGCTTATATACCTCGGTCGATGTTTAAGTTGATATCGATAGTGCATCTTCATCGGAAGTTTAGGAGATAAAGGGCTGTTCAGGTCTGCAAATATACTCCAAATAGCTGATGTTGTCCATCAAGTTGTCTTCTTGCTGTTCTTGCCAAGGCTGATGTTTTTAGGGAATAGTTCACCATGAAACGAGTTAAATTAATGTTCTCCTATTACTCACTTCACCATTACTCACTTTGAAAACAACTTAAACTTGTCCCCAGGTTTTCTCGGTTAACGGTTCAATAATCTGCAACTTTGCTGCACTTTTGACTTCATCGGTTCAATAAGGCAAAATTCATCCAAATTGGGTTAAAAGTAGCTGGTTATGATGAATTATGAGTGTGATTTTAGCCAATCAGAAACAGAGAAATATTTTGAATGAATAATAAACTGATTATTTTGTTACTACAGTCAAACCTGTAAGTGGACCACTATTAAGCTATGGTTGAAGTCACCTTTCCTTAAGATCCCAAACAACTTTTAATATCTTTATCTTCATTAAACCATAACTTTCAATTGAGAAGGTGTAATACAAACTTCAGCAGATGGACTTTCCATATCCTTTAGTGGTCTTTTAATCCTTGTTTTTTGTTTGTTTGTTTGTCTGAAGTCATTTTGCCCTGGGATAGATACTTTTATTTTGCTCTTTCGCCATCCTCATTTTTTTGAATTACCCTTCAGTTTGTCAAACCTGTATTAAGCAGACAGCAAGCCATTCCCTAAGGGTGACCACTTAATACAGGTTTGACTGTAACAGGATTTTATTATTAATATAGTAATTGAATGTATTTTTTCTTGGAAGTTGGAGAGTCAACAGAAAAGAAATATCTCTGAGGCAGCAGACTTGAGAGAAAAAATCAGTTCTCTTTGGATCAAACTGGAGGTGGATGAGGCAGAAAGACAAGCTTTCCTGTCTAAAAACGTTGGATATAAACCTTCTATAATTACTAAGGTAGGTAACAACCATGTAGACAGTAAAATTGTTAATAATAGTGTATACACAGGGTTTTAGCTTTTGATACTGATTTGTAAATTAAATAAGTGTGAAAGACCCTCACATCCTTCTTTTCTTTTTAGCTAAAGAGCGAGGTGGAACGATTACAAGCTTTGAAACTGCAACACATGCAGAAATTCATTGATGGCCTCAGGTATGCAAAGTGTATTTAACAGAGGTGTGTACTCAGCTGCATGAACTTTAATCCAAAACTGCAAGTGGGCTTTAACATCGAGATTCCAGATGAACTCCTAGATAACACGAGACACTATAAAGCAAGTCCACAACCCACTCAAATGACAACAGTTTGACTGTGGTTTTCAAGATCAATACCCTATTTTCTGAAATCTACAAAGGAGTAAATCAGGTCTTCTGAGTTCTTGACCATTTGACTCAACAGGCTCACACAAGTCCATACATTTCCCGCATTTATTAGCACTATTTAAGTACCGATTCTTGCCTAATGAAATTTATAATTTGGTTAGTAAAATTTATGCCCACTAACCTGGACGGTTAGTTAGCCAAAAATTTTTTATTTCGAGCCCTGCATTTCCTGTACATAGAAAATGGCATATAATAAAACATGGATTGGACTGGATTGATAACACATGGACTGGATTAATGAAACATGGATTGACAGTGTTTCTCTTTTGCCAGAAACTCCTTTTGTTTTTTCGGCCCTTTTTAATGATTAAAACTGCTTTTCGCAATGAATAATTATTATTCAACAGCAGAAATTTTCTACAGAGAATGAGAGCAATTTGAACCATCAGCTTCAAAATGGGAGCAAAAATCAAGATACTAGTCACAGTTTTCATTGTGTCTCACTTTGCAGATGAGTTTGTTTCTGTCAGCTATGTGTGTTGGAGGTTCATTCCAGTTCTTATTTTTACCGTTAAAACCTTGCAAACTTATTGGAAATTGACCTTGAATTTCATATGTTACACTGGCTAGGCAATTACATGTACAGTTGAGTCAAGTCAAGCATATCCCCCTAGATTAATGAATCAATTATTTAAAAAAAATTAATCTGTTTATAGTCGTTGCTGCAACCAGTATCAAAATTCAAATCTGCATTCCTGCACACATAATGAACAGTTATCAATCCATGTTTTATACATCAATCCAGTCCAGTCCATTTTTTATCATATGCCTTTGTATACCAGTATAAAATACCACACAGTAAAAAGGCTCCCCAGTCGATGTCCAAAGGAGCTTAAACATGAGCTCTAACTGCCAAAGTGTCTTCCTGCAGGACTGGACATTATTTTATAACCTAGAAACCAATGGGCTTTCTTTACCTTGTTATTCTAGAAAGGAATTATCAGATCTGTGGGACAAATGTTTCTTTGGACCTGCTCAGCGAGAGGAGTTTACACCAGCTTTTGATGGTATGTGTGACATAATACATTGTGCAGCCAACAAAATTGCACTGTTTCCTCCAACCTCATTCCCAGGCTTCTCTCCTACTTGTATGGGACGAGTATAGGAGAGAAAGAGCAATTTCTTGGGCTGTGATTGGTCAAGTTGGTTATGGTCAATTAGAGCAAGTACAGACTATGGAAATGACATGATGGTGGTGCAATTATTTTATTTTTCTCTTTCTTGTGAGTGCAATGTTCTGATAATCTGCAATGGATAGGGATGTCAAAATACACAGTGGCCCTGATGACTTATTTACCTTATTTACTTTGACATGAAATGAAATGTTGGCTTTTTTTTACTCCCTAGAATAGCTCTGTAATGATATTATACTTAAGTTAAGCATCAAAGAAAACTTACTTGTTAATGATAGGCCGTTGTTGTACAGTGTAGTTGATTTATTATACATGAATCGTATGGTACTTGCATATTTATATTTGAGTATGAGTCTTCTAGCTCTGATCTGTTGTATATTCATGACATACTTAGAAAATTACACAGAAGAGCTCCTGTCAATCCACGAACATCAAGTGGAAGTCATGAAAAATTATTACGAGGAAAACAAAAACATCTTTAAGCTTGTGGAGAGGAGAGAAGCTTTGTTCAAGACAATGGAGGAATTTGAGGTAACTTAATTAAAATTACACTTGAAGGCGTTCTCCTAACGGACACTCTTGTAAGCGGAAAGCTCTACTTATGGCCACCTTAACAAAACACTGTTTAAAACTCTGTATTTTTTACATTCCCATAATCGGCCAGCCCCAGTTATGGACACCTTTTTTACGTCCCGAGGGTGTCTGCTTATGAGAGCTTCCACTGTATACAAAAGACTATGTTACATGTACATAATTTGATATTACTAATACTTTCACACAATGTGCTCAAATTGCAACGTTACATGTATTTTCTGCTTAGTACATGTAATTGATACATTAACAGTCTGTACATACATGGGCGGCATTAACTTGCCTAGGAGCTGTGGGAGGTTTTAAGTTTTTCCTTTGCAGTGAACTCGAAAAGCCGTCACTGAAGAGAGAGCATAATATTTTTTAATCACTTGCCGTTACAGTTTTATGTTTTACTGTTCAAAGACTTTTTAACCAAGGTACATGTAGCTACAGTCAGCGACAAAATTGTTGAGACATTTTCCTCAAATGGGGTATCCCCCTTCACTAGTATCAAAGTTGGTGTGTCAAACAGTGGCAGAACATTGCATGGAGGGGATGTGGGAGGAACACTTTACACTTTTTTTAAGTCGGCAGGTTGTTAGAGAGGCCCTAATTTTGTGCAAAGTGTCTCGATCACAAACTAATTTCATCGCCAATTGTAGCTTTCTGACTGTGTAGATGCTGCTAGTGAGCAAAAGGGCACCCTGCTGGCTATTAAATTACTGGCTATTATAGCTAGTATGACCAGGTGTCCTAAATACATGTACCACGGCAATAGTAACTGAACATGGGGGCTGATACTGTCACCCTTTCTCTTTCAGACTCGTAAGAATGATTCTAACCGGCTTGCCAACCGTGGAGGAGCACTTCTCAAAGAGGAAAAAATCCGAAAAGGAATAAATAGAGAATTGCCAAAGGTGAATACATTATTCTAGCCCAAGATCAGCTAAAGTCATTTTAACTAGCCTGAATAAATGTTTTCATGAGCAGAATAAATTATTGATTATAGTTCTTCTGCTAGAAAACTCCAATTGCCCAACAGTCAAGTTAAGAATTCAATAAGCCTAATAGCAAAAATCCACTAGCCTCAGGCTATTGGACACGACTTGCTTTGCACACTGCAACACTTCATGTGGAGTCTGCGATGTTGCTTACAAAGTGGAGAACTTGAAAGTTAAATTTCGCAAAATAAATTTATTGAAATTAGCAAGGCTGTGAGTGTCACTAAGGTTTCCAATTGTGTTTCAGGTGTGAAGTTGTTAATATTTATTAGTGGAAAATGGGCACATCTGACAAATTTGCTTTCTTAACCTCCTTTATGGCAATTTCCCTTGTTTTATCTTCAAATAATAATCAATATATTATGAATTATTCTAAATAGTTATTAATATTAAGTTTAAGTTGTCATTTCTTCCATTTATTTTATTAATCATGAGTTGTTGTTTAAATAGATTGAACAGAAACTGAAGATGGATGTAGGAAAATGGGAGGAAGAAAATGAGAGAAGATTCCTGATTAATGGCTGTCATTACATGGACATAATCACAAATCAATGGGCAGCATTTAATGCTCAGAAAGAGCAAGAGATATTAGAAAGAGTAAGGAATTATTTTATTAGCACTAGAATTGGGGGAAAATTAGTATAAATATTACACTGGACATTGTACTTGTCAATCTCTTCTTTTTAAATAACAACAAAATGTTCATAATTAATGTGATATATTTGAAATGTATGTGGATTGTTCATCACTTTAATAGCAGTCTGACTTGGAACGAATGCCTCCACATAAAATCAAAAAAATACACAGTAAACACCCTGCCAATATGGTATCATTCACTCTTGCCAAGAGTGATTGGCATCACAATCATTTGGTCAGATCGTTCCATTTTATAGGACTTCAGATTGTTCCACAGTTTCAGTGTAAAAATTGATTTGAAACGTGCTTTTTTTCTGGCTTCTTGCCTTAAAGAACAAGTTATATACACATGAGTAACACCCTTGTTTCTGCTCATGGCTTATAGTCATGTGAAAAGTTCTGATTAGATTGTAGAATAATCTGTCAATTAAGTAGAACTATCTGACCATGGAACAAAGTGTCAGTTGGTCACCAGATACCACCCTTAAGGATGTAAGTGTACCATGTAAGTGAGTCATGTATCCTCTTAGCTCATACCAGAGTGAATACAGCCAGTGCCACCAATGATTTTAGCCGTTTATTATATGTACATTCATTAGATCTTGTTCCTGAAAAAACTGCATCCCTCAATGTGACAAAAAGGTTGTTTCTGGTTAACAGTTTCAATTTCTTTCCAAAGCACAAAAGGCAACAGGAGATAATGGAGAAAGAAATGGTCTATGGAAGCAAACCAGCTACCACACCCAAGAAAAGGTAATTGTGTTTTTGCAGTATTGATAACTTTAACTAAAGAAATTACCAACAACAAATATAGTATTATTTATTGTTTGTTTAATGCCAGACCTTTGGGTGGAACAACAACACCTCTGAAGACATCAAAGCGAATAAAGGTGAGTGCTCTCTGTAATCAGTGTTCTTGTTATGCTGAGATATAACTTGATAGAGGATACCTTACATGGATGTCCAAATATCAAGTTAAACACAGATTGTACAGTATGCCTTGGACTTCAAGCTAGTAATGATGTGACATTCACACCCACCAACTTGAACAGGCGGACATTCATACATGTATGGGCACAAAGTTTTGTCGTGACACAAATTTCTTGGATGCATAGATAACCAAATTTTATTATCTACGGTGCTCTGCAGCATGCGTTTTGTGCACAAGAGAGCTTTTTTACATGTAGTTCAAATGTTTGATCACTTGCATAACTTTCTTTTCCTTTACTTGTATAGATGCAAGATGCAACTACAACATCCACACCATCCAAGTTTCCGTTACATTCTAGCATTTGTCCATCACCAAGACCAGCTGCTGGAAAATCAGCTGGGCGCCCACCTCTTACCACTAAATCAAGTGTTAGAAAAGTGACAAAGACAATAAAGAAAAAAGTGGTAAGGAGATAAATAGTGGTAGTAGGAGTGAGTGGAGTCCACTCGGTCTGTAATCATACACGTAACTAACAAAATTGGCCGACCGTGTAGTGGGAGTCTGATTTTTTAAACCAAGCATGATTACTGACCAAACTGGACAACACAAATTCTGTTGCCAATTAATCATGGATCATGTGTTTCTGAGCCACCTACCCCTCCCCTTAGAAAACATTTTGCCGTAACTGAGAAGTACATGTTAATGTTGGCTTAGGGGAGGGGTAGGTGGGCAGTTTCCCAGAAACATATAATGATCCATCTTAATCATAACTATGACATAATTTATGATTTTTTAAACTTTCCTCAAATTAAAACAGAGTGAGTTTATTATAAAACTAAAAACTCATTCAAGTGCGCTCGCAAGATGGTGGGTACAGTCCAAAGGCGTGACGTGTACTAGTGTCCTTTAGTGTTGAAATCAGGACAGTTGATGGCCAATCAGATTTGAGAATTTTTTTATAGTTATGATTAACAAAATAATATATATTCAGGCGGCTTAGCTTCAAATTTCAGGTGAATTGTACACTTTTTGATACAAGCGTGAAATCTGGCATACTGATAGAAGTCACCAATACAAACATTTTCGGATATAGTGCCAAGCCGAAAATACGTTGCTTTCCATAGAAACCGCAAATTGTTAAATCTGTTTTCTACATACGTCTTTTTTTTCACATGCCACTTAATGATGTGTTGCCATGGCAACGGGAAAAATTAAAGGGGTTTTGTCACACTATTTCCTTTCTAAATAAGAACCTAAAATGTGTCTTTGTTAGAAATGAATTTTAACAATAACGGCCAAAATTTGTTATCATAGACCTTATTTTCTTGTTCCCGGTTGCTAGGATATGAAATAAGACATGGAAACGTTGGGCCAACATTTTCAAGTTTTAATGCCGTGCTGGTAAAATCAAGAAAAAATATACAATGGTTAGTGCTCCTTGGAGCATTGTTTTGTAGGGGAGAAGGCACTAAGCTTCAGCACAGAATTGGCACAAAACAACAATATCTTCATGACTTAGCCCTGTTAGATACTTTGAATGTTAAAATTAATACAAATTAGTCACGAACGCATTGTCCATCACATATACAAAGCGAGGTACATGGAAGGTCTGCCTTTACACATTTGCATCTTTTGCTACAACTCTTCTTACAACCACAATGGAGCAGCTCTTTGCAGCTGCTTTTCTCTTCCTAAGGTCCAACCCCAATTTGTGGATTCAGGAAGAACAGGTTTAAGGGCCGTTGCTTGCCCCTGCACGTATCCTCCTTGATACACGGCGCGCTTCACATGTTGTTCCAGAGCATCCCGGGTGGGTGGGAGTCCTTCCAACCCTCTCCCTTTCTTTGTGAATAAGTACTTTCGGGCATCATTGACCTGAAACAAATACCAAATAGTAAGTATAAATAAATGCAAACATTACACGATCACAAGTCCTCAAGAAGAAACCGAGAAGATTAACACCCACCTTGCTGAGGTGGCTAGTCCTGTCGTAAATCAGAATGATAAATCGTTCTATGGTGCACAGATTCTCCTCAGAAATACTAGAGGGGGTCCCTGCCAGCTCCAGAAATATACTAGTAACATTTGGAAAGTTCTCCCAAACTGCCCAGGCTGTTCTTTTTCCATACCCAGCGAAGAAGGATGTTGTGTCGCACCCTGTCAGGGCATGGAAGATGGGGAGACACTTTGATTTAGTTGGACCAAGAGCCTTTGCGAAGAGATGTGCCCGCAGGATCCTATGGTTTTTTTCCGGTTTCATAGGAGACCCACAATTCCTTTAGGTCTAAAGTTGCAACAGCGGCAACAGCTAACACAAGCACGTCAGTGTCTGTTGATCGGATCATGACTGACTGGTGACCATCTTGTACTGCATCAGCAAAATGAACCATTATTCTTGTGTCTGCTTCTTCATGCGAACAGGGTGACAATTTATTCCTTCTTGTCGCAGATGGAGAGCAGAGTACCTCTTCTCCTTTGATTTGCCTGCCCTCGATCGCCATTTTCACGACCTGCTCTGACAAGAACAGGAACAGCTCCTTCTTGTTGTTATCTAAACGTAAGAATTCTTGCCAGTTTTGGGGTACCACAGCAGATGGAAGAACCCTCCTTCTGGCGCCAGTACCTCTCTTCTGCCTTGTGCTTGCCTTCAAACTGTTAGGGATATATTCATCCCGCACCAATTCCAGCCTCTGTACATTTTCAATTGACTGTTTGATGTACGGCAGTAAGACCTTCTCGCTGTATTCCATGAAAGTCTACAGAATTGTGGCTTGAGCATCTGAACGGAGAACGTACCGTCAAATACGATAACCGATGGGTTAGGGACTCTCATGTGCCCACCAATTTATCCATGCACTGTATTAAGTCACATTTGCTACCTGACCTGATTCTCCCACAGTCCGATAATGAATGAGGAGACCCTTGAGTTTCATGAGAAAAGAAATCATCGAGATCACCATCTCTACTTTGACATCCGATGTATGGCCTCCGAAACAGCTGGCAGTCCGTTCTTACAGATTTTAGCTTCATTTTCTCTTTTGATGTTGAACTCTTACACCCTGGTTTCCACAAAGGAAGATTATTTCTTGAAATGCTATCATCGATTGGCTTAGATCTCTCCGTAAGCCTTTCTTTTACGAAGAGTTCATACTGCCCCTTTCCAATTGACTCAATGTTGTTCAAAGAAGCTTTCATTGCTGGATCAGCTGTGTCTTTCGATACAAGTGAGATCAGGTCTGTACTTTCCTCTTCAAATGAGTTGCCAAGTTCTTCTATAATAGAAACCAGAGATTGAACATGACTTATGAAGCGTGCTTGGCAAGCCCTGGATTGCTCATGATGTGGTGTGCAAGTCTGGTTGGTGTTGTCCTCCTCTATTGTAATCTCAAACTCTTTTACCATTTTTGCCAGCTCCGGTCCGGCCACCATCCATCTTAAAAGCACACCAGGATTCTCAGTGATTCCATAATCCCGCTGTTCCCCTTGATTAACTCATTACTCTGTTCATGAGCCTGGTCTGGTGGTATAGATGAAAAAGTATTAGTTGTCTTCTGCGCTGTAAATTTACCACAATTTTAGAACTCCTTGTAGACGTGTGGGTGTTTATTTGGTAGGTCTGCCATGTCCCTAATATGTACTGGTAGCCACCGCTAATAATTAGTGCGATCTAGAGCGAACATCCAAGGGGTAATTGCCATCAAAGCAGCCGTATACTGTCTGAAGTCCAATTGTCGAAAGGAGCGCACGAGAATGAGAATAAGTAACTCGAACGTGAGGGTCATCTTCCAGAATTGGAGCTGCGGGGTCTTACTGGCTTGATCTTTGCACCATTCAGGGAATGGTGGAGCGTTCTCTGTGCATTGTGCGCAGTAATTCTTGTAGGCTCTCAGCTGAAGTATATAAAGCGAGGATGCCGTAATTTGATGGACTTATCTTGTACGCGTAATAATGTGCAGACGTTACTAATGACTCAGCCCTTTCAGTCGTGGTTATCCCGGCTTGCGCAACAGCCTCTGTCCAACCACTTCCCAACAGCCACGATCCTATTGCTTCGAGAACCGCTAACTCTATGTGAAGTCCACCAAGTATAACTATCAGCTTATCTTCTCCCGTCGTGTCTGGATATCTTCATTGTATTTGCTTAGCTAAAGCATATAGGGGTTGATCGAATGATACAACTGCAGCTTGCCCTGGGTTGAGGTGTTCAACAGCTTTCATAACAACAGTTATGGCATGCTTGATCATGGCTATGGAATGAGCAGCTTCTGCAAAAAGAGGCAGCAACGAACTCTGGCATCGTGCGTTGACGTGTTTCTGTCGTTTTCCGTGGAAAGCAGACCATGATACCATTGCTGTTGTGTTTTTGCTATGGGCTTTTCCATTTCCAGCTCGCTTGGCAACAGTGGGTTGCATAACCTCTTTGTCTATCTGTTGGTGGTCTTCTGCATGCTGCCTCATATGGTTGAGCCCTTCAGTCTCCTTCACTGTGGCCAGAGATAGTGCTTCATCATCACCGTTTACATTATACTGCATACTTGGCACTCTTAAACCACCTTGTTTTTGACTTGACAAAGGGAGAATTTTAATGTAGCTTGATGGCAGTGCACCTATGTAGACAAATTTCTTTCCTTAAATCGTGCGTTTTTCACACCTTCCTCTTCCACAGTAGGGTGCTGTATTAGTGAAATGCTGGTGCCATGAAATGAACTTATTGCCGTTGTCGACGACGTGCTGTGCTCGATATTATCAACTGCGGCTATAGTGAAACGTTTGTTTTCAGGTTGGAAGGGCATACCGTATCCGTCTCCTTGAAGTGTTCACAAACTGCATTTGCCATATCTGATGACAAGCCTAGCACTTCATCGTACGAAATTGACATGCCAAGTGAATGTAATCTGTCTATAGGATCACCCTTGCGTGTTTTTAAATGAAGCCTCACACCAATTTACACTGGTAATGGACTCTCTTGACTTTTGACATGCCGAGTACATTCTTCTGTCTTACGGGGTTGCTTCACGTTATTGAATTTAAGAAGCTGAGCTAATGTTAATCCAGCCTGACTTTGCTTTATAGTTGACTGGCATTTAGCTTTTGGCCCTTCAAGGATCATGGTTACCAACGATAGCAAAGTCTGGGGGATTGATCCCCTTTGGCAGTTCTGAGAAAACGATCCATTGGCTACTTATGATTCAGTGAATATTTCTTGTCGGACTATGCTAGCTGAACGTTGTAAACACATCTCATAGGCATCATTGTCGTTAGAGAAAGCGTCGGATTTAATGTCTTATGTCTTCTGTAAAAGCTACCAACACCTCTCTTCCTTTATTGTGAGCAGTTAAACCAGGGATAGCTTCTCCTTTAGACGCGTGGAATGTATCTCTTGAGTTTCCTCCGCCAGACCTTCTCTAATTAGGCTCTTGCAATACTCTTTTCTCAAATCCGAGAACTTGGAAACGGAACTCACTTCACTCGTGAGTAACAGATCGGACGCGGGAGTCGATACCCATTGTACACGCCATTCTTAGATCACCATGGTTAGCTGATTCCTTGCAAAAGAAGCAAACCGGCCGTTTCACGCTCTGTGGAAACATACTTGAGCGTGTCCGTTTGCTGCTGCTTTGGCCGTGGCTCTCTTCAGGCATTTTCCTTTTTATTATACGCTCCAGTTTGGTCCTATTGAACGCATCGCGACACGATTTATGCCACAAGGCAAAACGACTCGTTAAAGTGGAAGCAATTCCGTTTCCCTCGTTTAGACATTCCCAGTTAACTGCTAAATGTAACTCTCCCACCTCATAAAATGACGTTAGGTCTCGCTCAAAAGTTACGTGTCCAGCACCAGAGTCGTGTCGTTTCGAATTAGCCGGACATGTAGACTTTTCAGATGTTTCTTCCTGGCAAATAATACATTTTCACCAGTCAATAGTTTGATGTTGCGACATGATTCCACGTCTTCACGTCAACCCATTTCGTTCAAACCGGCCTGTTTCTCTTTATATCATTGGAATGATATTCTTCTCTAGCTGCACCGATCGAGTCGCATGTACAAAGTTTTGAGTGAAAATCAAGAGAAAGTGGAGAAAAAAGCACGTGCAGAAAAATTGCAAATTCCGGCCAGTATTTGAATAATAGTTTTCCGAGAAAATTATTAGCATAACGAAGAAGAAAATAACAATTTGACTTCAAATTTAAGCATTTGTATTTGTATTTTGAAATGAAACGTAAAAGAGTAAGAAATGTACTTCGCGGGCGGTCTCGTGTCCGAAAATTTCATTCGCTGCAAATAAGCTGGAATTAGACAATTAAGCTTGGCACTATATCAGGAAATGACCAGCCTGGGAATGTAAATATTCCTACAAAGTTTGGTTCTTGTATCAAAAATCCCATAATTTTACAGTTAAGCCGCCGGACTAATACCTGTAGTAGAACCTTTGCGTCCACCCATAAGCGAGGCAAACGCGCCTCTCCTCCCCTCGTCTCTCGCCCTTGCACTCCTTCGCGCAAAATGCCGTGTTCGCCTCGCTTGGTTCAAAAAGCGCCTTTTATGCAGGATAAATTTTCCCAGTCAAAGCCTTACAGTTGGAATTTCTCCTAAACGACCACCTCTTGTAAGCGACCACTTGACGATGGTTTGATCTCTATATCTACTGTGGTAACCAGTCTAGTCGCCCGAAGTTATATCGCCCGAAATGTTTAGTCAAGTCGCTCGAAATTTTAATGAAGAGTGTATGTAATATATCTCGTTGTTTAAGCGATAATGAGACGAAACAAGCAGGATGAATTTCGGGCGACTTGACCGGAAACCTTTACTGTACAGTAGACTCCTGGTAACTAGAATCTCCCGCTAACTCGAAGCAATTTTCATTTTCTCTTCAGATTATTTTCTATATAATTTTAAATACCTCGATCACTCGAACTTTTGTCAATTTTCTTTGAAGGTTCGAATTAACGGGAGTCGACTGTATGTACTTCTCTACTCAAGGTATATGAAAAACTTTTTAGTAACAACACGCGGAGCGAACCTGGTTTATTAGCTGATGTTTTAATGCCTGTATTTGTTAACAGACACCTGGCAGCAGACGGCAGTCGGCCAGGCTGGCAGTGAAAAGAAAGGTTCTTGGTGAGAAAAATGGCAACACGAGCAAGCTGCTTAATGGCTCTGTTAATGCATCAATTCGAATTCTGAATGGTTTCAAATCAGCAAGCAATAAGGATGAATCAATGGTTGTATGTACTTCGTACAATGAGTTTGCTGTAAGTGCAGACAAATCTTAATTTGACAGGTTTTCAAACACAGAAGTTGCTGTCAAAGAGATTGAGAATATATCACTAGAAGTAAAATGATTTTTTTTATATTGAGCTATTATCATGGGGATAAGAATGTTCCAATAGGTTTGGTTTGTTTTCCTTGAAGGCCATCAACCTCTTGTCTTGATTAGCCTGGATTTGTTAGAAGACAGTTTTTTTATGAAAAATGGAAGTAATCCGATCAATGCATTATGGCTTGAATATTGGACAAGGTTGTCGTTATGGAAATATTATGGGTTATCCCAAAGCCCCTAAAGCTTGGACTGTTTTACACTTGGGCAAAACCTAAACGGCAATGTAGCCTGTAAGCATCAGAAGGTTCTTCATTTAGAGTGACGTGCGAAGCGAGAGGCGGAGGAAAGAAGAACAGGGGTGCTTACTATTTGCACAAACCATCCTGGTGGAAGGAAAATCTTGTTCGTATACAGCTATTTCGAGAAATGTCGTCGGATAAAGTGCACGCGACAAACCCGAAAGGTATTGTGGGTTGTTTAGAGTTCACTGTTTTTCAAAGAAATTTGAAAGAATGGCAGGAGAGGCCATGGACATATGTTTGTGAGTGCTAAAGGAAAGCAACAAAAGGAGGTTCGACAGCTATAGTGTATTGATCATATCCCATATTACCTTTCGGGATTGTCGCTTGCACATTTTTTCCGACAACCTTTCTCGAAACAGCTGTATATAAAAACTATAAAATCCGACGTTGTGGAAGTACGAACCGATACTGAACATATCCAAATTTACTAAAGCGACTGAAAAAAAGTAGAAAAATTGCATCGTCTCAAATCACGGCCCATATTTTCTGAATGCTGCGAAGCATTTGATTTCCCAACCGGAATTTCCGGTTTTCTGTATGTTAATGGTAAGTACCCCATGGCTTCCCTTTCTCTCCGCCCTTCGCTCCCGCGTCTCCTTTCGCGTACCACTCGCGCTTTTCTTGTCACGATATTCCCTGAATGGAGAGATTTATCGCAGGACAGTCCGCGACGCTACCACTGGTTTCCCCACGAAATGACGTCTGAGAAACGAGCGCAGAAATTCCATACTGATGACGGGTCACTACCCAAATCTGGCATAATCAGTATGGAATTTCTCTGCCTGTTTCGTCATTTCGCGGGAAAGCCGTGGTAGCATCGCGATATGTCGGTTGTTTTCTCAGGCTCGCTTCTTTGCCAATGGGTGCTGCTAGAGCACAGCCTTGGGGGTTTTAACTTTATAATTTCTAAGTTATGTTAGGTCAGTTTACATTTGGCAGTGATCTTATGAGCGTTTCATTTTGTTCTTCCTTAGAGTGGCCTGAATAAAGAGGAGAACAACTGCCGCAGCAGCATGCTCAACAGAACACATTCAGTCACTTCATTCATGTAGAGCCAAGGACAATCACACAGATTACACAGAACTTTATCTTCTTTTGTTGTTTTACCGAATATTGGCAACAGACATCAAAGAACGTGGACTTTGGTCTCCTTTATCATCATCATCTACTTGAATATTTTTTAACTTTGCTTCCATCCTGTGAAATTGTTTCATTTTAAATGATCTTTAATCTTCAAAAACACCTTTGTTCATTATTAATGTAGCATCATTTCTCGACACTGTTTTATTAATTAAGAGTTTTTGGATGTGTTTGATCATGCATCTTAACTTAAAAATCGCACGTTTCGATATCTGTTACCAATGTAGCATTATTTCTCGACACTATTATATTAAATAAGAGTTTTTTAAAACCTTTACATCAGTAACGTAGCTAGTACAGGAGAGCCACCGTTTGCTTATTTCGCCTCTAGCTGGTCAAGAAAGTCGTGATGCAGATTTTTTGCAGTCGCAAAGTGAAGAAATGCAAAGGCAACGTGATCCAGAGATTGCTCAAAACACTTGACTACTGAAAGAAAGTCCACGCTAGGAGTTTTTTCAGTAAATGGTAATTTACTGCACTGCCAAATCTCAAACAAACTTTCATCTGGATACTTCTGGTTTTCTGAGGAAGGTTTATGAGATGTAATATGAGGGAGACATCTCGTAGCTCAGACAAAAAGTAAATTGCCAATGTTTTGCATTCTTTATTTATTTTAAAGATGTACTATTTTACAAATAATGTAAATATGAAGTTTATGTAGAGTTTTATGAAGAATTGGTGACGTTTAAAATGTAATCGTCGTCAGAGGTTGATGGCACTTCCAATGCAATTAGACGTTAGATTTGGTATAATTTTTTACTCTACATGTATCGTTAAATAATGTGGAATTCACTAGATAATTAGATAATTAACAGGCACCGAAAGGGCAGGAGTCTTAGCAAGTTCATGATTTTTTTAAAGGAAATTTTTTCATCCTAGTGTTTAAATGGTTGCTACAAGTGATCTATCTACATTGTTATCTCGACATGGGAGCGAAAAATTACCAAATGCGAGGCCAAATAGTTGGCTGAAATGTAAATTTTCTCGATCTTCTGTCATATCGGACGAGATAGAATTTACTTCTCTGTTCATTCTCGTTCGTCGCATGTCTCAAAGCATTTGGGAAGCGATTTAACACGCAAAACTTGTCCAGTCACTCTGTCAGTGATATTTCGGATATCATGGGTTAATAGTTTGACTGTCAAGTCCAGGATTCTAACTTGGCATGCTCCGATTGGCACACGGGCGTTGTTCACATATTTACCAGTTCAAAAAACTTACGACTTGGGGAAAGAAAATCGCTGTCTCANGAGACATCTCGTAGCTCAGACAAAAAGTAAATTGCCAATGTTTTGCATTCTTTATTTATTTTAAAGATGTACTATTTTACAAATAATGTAAATATGAAGTTTATGTAGAGTTTTATGAAGAATTGGTGACGGTTTAAATGTAATCCGCGTCAGAGGTTGATGGCACTTCCAATGCAGTTGGACATTAGATTTGGTATAATTTTTTACTCTGCATGTATCGTTATATAATGTGCAATTCACTAGATAATTAGATAATTAACAGCTACCGAAAGGGCAAGAGTCTTAGCAAGTTCATGATATTTTTTTAAAGGAAATTGTTTCATCGTAGTGTTTAAATGGTTGCTACAAGTGATCTACATTGTTATCTCGACCTGGGAACGAAAAATTACCAAATGCGAGGCCAAACAGTTGGCTGAAATGTAAATTTTCTTGAGCTTCTGTCATATCGGACGAGATAGAATTTACTGCTCTGTTCATCCTCGTTCGTCGTTTGTTTCAAAGTATTTGGGAAGCGATTTAACACGCAAAACTTGCCCAGTCACTCTGTCAGTGATATTTCGGATATCATGGGTTAATAGTTTGACTGTCAAGTCCAGGATTCTAACCTGGCATGCTCCGATTGGCACAGTGGCGTTGTTCACATATTTACCAGTTCGAAAATCTTACGACTCGGGGAGAGAAAATCGCTGTCTCAGTTTTTTCACCTAAACATTAATAGAGTTGATATGAGCAGCTAGACGTGCAACCTGTTTACTTTAACCCATATTTTTAATTATAATCGACTTTTTGATATAATTTAATGAACATCAGAATTAGTGAAGAACAGAAGATTTTGTATTATTCACCAGTTGCACTTTATACTTACTTTTTAAGTCAAGTTTTTTCAAAGTTGTTCAGTAGACTTTGTCTAACTTGTGTAGAGATCATTGAAACTCGTCGCAATAAAAAAAGCCATTGTTTCGGAAATCTTCTGGTGCTTTCTATTCACCGTTTTTTCAACAACATTCATTTTTCCCACATGACAGGTATTGTTTTATTATATACGTCATTACCTAATCAACAGATGCATGTGCTTTACATAAAAAAAGTAAATTTGATTATAAATCTGTGATTTATAACATCGAAGGGGAAGCACCAACTAATATATAGTATACGCGCTCGGTCATTAAGGCCCCGTCCACACGTATCCGGATATTTTTGAATCCGCCCTCCGGAGTGGAAATTTTTGTATATGCTATGAATACGAAATCGTGTGGACGATATATTTTTTATTTGATGACGTAACCAGATCGAGCCCAGTTCTTTACCGACAACAATCTCGACCCCAGAGCTCTTCTGCGCATGACGCACTGGGGTCGAGATTGTACCGACAAAGGCAAAGCAAGATAAAAATTTCGCGCGCTTTACGACGCATGCTCTGTTTCCAATATTCCCAGAGGAGTCCTGGGTACTAGAGTGAATGCGGATGTGTGAACAGGCAAATTCGATTTGAATCCGGATACGTGCGGACGTGGAAATTTTTGAATCCGCAAAAAAAAGTTGTGGATTTCAAAATACCCGGATGCGTGTGGACGGTGCCTAAGAACGCCTCGGAGCCATCCGACGACGGCAACGAAAACGTCACTTAAAAAGTGAATGCTGGCTGCTTTAAACTTTATGACGCTTATTCTATCTCGTTTAATTCGTCAAATGTTGTCAAAAATTGTCGGAAAACTCAAATTTTGTGACCCCCGAGGTGTCTCGACTAAAACACGAGTGCCAAGCAAGATATAATTATGGAATTATGGTAATTACTTTCCACTTTTTAGTTTTGCTTGTAAAAAAAATCTTTAAAAAATTCCTTAAGTTTCCTTATTTTTATTAATTTACAGTGAAACCGGTTGTTCGTTTGCGGGCCACTTTGCAATATTGTCACGCAATGTTGGTATTTTGATTGGCAGTTTGCTCCGAGCAAGTTGCGATTCAAATTTCAATTTGCTGCCTGAGCAAACGGTTTTTCATATTGGACTATTGTGAGTTGACTGCGATGCGTTCGTTGTAATGGAGACAAAGTTTCTCCCTTTTTCATTAAAGGGAGACCAGCAGCCCGATAGCTTTATTTCTTTATACGAGTGCCGAAGTAGAAAGTGTAGTTTGGCACTCCAATATCCTTTCAAAGTTTCCTGCAACATGGGACGGCGGCTCCGGGAAAACCAGGATTGAAAGAACGCACAGTCGCTACTCCAAATGTGGTGGAATTCGTGGAGTATTGCAAGGTTTTTAAACCAAGCACACGAACTTTTGAAATACAGCAGGGCTTACTTGCCAACGCCATATGTACTCCAGCTAATCTCCCCGCTCGCTCGCTCGATATTGTAAGACAGGACTTGCAATTCACATGGAAAAAACTTTCCGTCCATCCTGCAGAATCTTTAACTCATGAAAATCTTCTGAAAAGTCTGAACTATATTATGTATATGTTGGGAGTTGATCCCTCTACGGTTTATTTTTTTGACAAAACCTCGGTCGTGAAAACAACGCCAAATCGGAGTTACGGACATAGCAAGAAAGGCCTTCCAGCAGTTGAAATCCAACGGTACGCCTCGAACTGTAACTACACCGTAAACCTCCTCTATAGCCGTTTTGGTATTGATAACTTCAATATTTTGGAATGCCCTTCTAATGGATTTGAAATGATTCATTTCTTCGAAGAAAGTTTACAAGCTGTAGACCATGTGGGGAATCCAGTCTTGGCGAATGGAGATGTTATTGCAATGGACAACTGCGGCTTTCACCACGGAGTTTTCGCGGAAAACCAGTTGCACGAGGCAGCAAGTTGAAATTTGAGCTCGCAACTTGCTCGGAGCAAACTGCCAATCAAAATACCAACATTGCGTGAGAATATTCCAAAGTGGCGCGCAAACGAACAACCGGTTTCACTGTAAAAGCACTGAAACAAAGATTATTACCTTTCAGAGCCCGTTTTGTTTCTTTTGAATGGGGCGATTTTCGTGTGACCTCGAAAAATGGTTTTGGTAGGTGTTCGTTATTTGTTTATTAGCAAATGGATGAAAAGATCAAAACATGGCCTCTTTGTTTTCCCGCCAATAGGCTGATTTAGCAACAGAACGGGAACGTCAGTTGACGACGGCGCACGCAGGTCAAACAACTGGCTTGACCATTGGTTTGACCAATGGCAGAACAGCAAACTGGGCACCGTGAGTCGTGTTTAGTCCTTTCGAGCGCTTTCCCGTCGTCAACTGACGTTCCTGTTTTGATGTTAAATCAGCCTAATATGGAGAAGGCTTTGTTCGATTGGCCATGACGTTTTTCACCCGAGCGTTCGCTCAACCAACCAAAAGCTATGCGCGTTTGTATTCGTTCCATAAACCAATCAAATTGCTCTATTTACGTTCGTTTGTTGTTTCTGTTTTGTTCGGGTGTCTTCATTTCAAGGTCATACAAAAATCGCTCTAAATTTTTTGTTCGTAGTCTCCGAATTCGTGTGGATGTAGCCTAAGGAGGAACAGGAGGTTATTATTACTAATAATAGACCTTATGCAACAATGGCTGCTGGATGAATATTCTTTTGTTTAAATGGAAATTAGCTTCAGTAGCCTCGTTATCCAGTACAAAATTCAAAAGAATACATTATCTAAAGCGAGGCTAGTCAGGCTAATTTTAATTTCAACAAAAGAATATTAATCCAGCAGAGATTTTTGTATTGGGCCTATAACCTACTGTTCCGAGAAAGCGTCGGAGCTCAGACATTTTCCTATATAAGAATATCTTGTAAACTTGTCAATGCCAGTCGCTGTACTTCGTATATACGCTTTACATAAATGCATAACAATGAGCTGAAGATGTCCTCCGCAACCTTACTGCACTCTTTTATTGTTCTAGATTCAGTAGGTCATTATTGTAGCCACTGAATTGGAAGATTAGATTAAAATTTGAAATAATTACCTTCTGTGACCTGTACTAATTTCTGTTTATTTAAAACAAGTAACCTTTTGACCTTTTAAATACGTACTCACGGTAGAATTCAAGCATATTTGTGTTGTCGAGGCCTTATACTATCGCGCTAAGGTGGGCGTTGGGATCGTGGTGCAAAATATTTTTGTAGAATTCCTCTACTTTGCACACTTTAAATTACACTCACGTTTCAAAATGGCGTCTGACATGGCGGAATAGAGCAGATATCTACACACAGTTACATAAGTTGTTACCTAGTCCCTAGGCCTAATTATTCCGCCCGGCCTATGCGTTTCAAGCCACGTGGTCCGAGCGAGTTTTTGGGTGGATTTATTAGCGACATACGCGTATCGCTGTCGCATTTGCCTGCTAAATTTTTTTATTGTTTTTAAGCCTTCGAGAAAGAACCCTGTTTGCGGCTGGTCAAGTGGAAATGTGTGTCCATAAATTGCACAGCGAGCGGGGTTAGGTCCTCCACTAAATCTTGTCGAATGGGCGGTGAAATACTACCTGGGGTAGGGACAAAATTCTTACTTACTTAAACGCGCTTGGGTTTCTGAGTTGCGTGCAAACTGCTATTCTTTGTTAGCTGTCTCACATTTTCTGCATAAACGTTTTGAAAAAGTCTAAAGTTCGGGTAACGGGATGCCACAAATTTCTTCCACCGCGGAAAGACAAAATAAATTTTGTCTCCTGAAAAATATTTTTGCAGTGTTTCGGATCCACGATAGTTTGTCATAGTCTACATGACAAGCTGGCATTATCCGATACTATTTTTCGGGTGTTGTTGACATACCCGCGCCATCAGCTGATAAAAAGGGAGCTTAAACCAAAGACGACGGCAACATCAACGAGAACGGCAAAAAGGTGCTAGGTTTAGGGCCTGTTTAAAATGTGGCGGGTCACCCCACCTATCATGTAAACGTGATCAACTTAAAACGAGCGATTATATTGACAGGCGAGTTACCCCACCTAAGCGGTTTACCTCACCTATCTGGGGTCCCCCACCGCCATGTAAACAGGCCCTTAGATTGGTAAAACAACAATTCTACGCGTGCATCACACTTCTTTGTACATTTCTTTGCCGTCACTGCACGACTACGACGTGAAAATGCCTAATTTTACTTGGAGGACGTAGGCACAAGACAACGACTTTCTTTTTTCTTTTCTTGAAGTTCAATGCAGTCTTTTAGAATTCAACTCTAGAAAACATTGCCAAAATTTGAGGAATTGGAGGAGATGGATGAAGGATGATAGATGTGATGAAGTTTGAAGCAGCGCGACTTCACTTTTTGAGTGGTGTTTTCGTAGCCGTCGCCGTCCGTTTGTTGCATTTAAAAGCTCTCTAATAAAGAGGCTGCAAACTCCTCTCGGGCCCCGACGGAGTGACTTTTGTCATAGCGACCATTATTTCCTCAACTTCCCCCCTCTTATTTTTGGCTCCCAGATTTTGGGAGCCACGTGACCAGCTGCAATCAGGTTCTTTCTCGAAGCAAGAGAGAAAACCTGGGAACGAGGTTGGCGGTTCGTCTCGGGTACGTTGGATACGTCACGGAAATGCATTGACCGAGAAGGCCTGGGAGGAAGCTGTACGGGAATGAGGCAACAAACCGGTAAGTAGTATAGTAGGGACCAAATAAACAGTTTTTGTGGAGGAATCTCATAAACTTGAGCGCTATATACTTGTCTGTGACTTGGAAACACAGAATCGTAACGTATTTATGTATTTGAGTTCATCTATTTCTTGCCGCCTTTATTGTTCAACAAATGTTTCAAGTTTCGGTTCACTGATTCTCGGTGAAAAAATGTTGCATATTAATGAGACGGGGGTAAACTAGGTCTTAGAGCGGTTTTCACTTGACTGTCGTAAAACCAAAACCAAAGTAAATACACTAGCCATCCAAACGGCGTAGTAAAACCAAAACCAAAACCAAAACCAATCCCTTTCGACAGTCAAGTGAAAACCGCTCTAACAGCAAGAACGAAACTTTGCACGTGTATCACAATTTCGTGCATATGCTTTGCCGTCGTTGCACGACTTCGAAGTGAAACTACCTAATTTCACGTTGTATGAAGGACGTGAACACAAGGAAACGAGTTAATTTTTCTTTTTTCTAAAATTAGATAAAGTCCTTTAGAATTTAACTCCAGAACATTTTGTCAATATGTGACAAATTGAGCGTGATGCTTATTCTCGCTTCTTCAAATTTCGTCGCTCTTAAGTGAAAAACAGACTGCAAAAACGACGACAGCAGCACAATCTATGAAAAGCCTCATAATGGGTAAGTGGAGGAGGAGAGTGGTGGCGGTGGTGGTGGAGGAGGAATACAGTAGAAATGTCGTGGAGCAAAATAGGAGGACGGTGAGTAAAAATTTGTGTTTCTTGCTGAGCAAGTTTAAATTCGGCCTCATTAAAATGCATATTGCGCTCCAAGAATAAGTGAACCGGAACTGGAACAATTTGTTGGACCTGTGTTGGGGCAATGGAGTGTTTACACATGACGTCACGGCGGCCAAATTGGGTGACGCAAGTCTGCTTAATTACGGATGGTAAAAGGCAGTCGGATTGATCTTGTTTTCTTGCATTAACTGAAAGACTTCGTCCTTACGTCTTCGTAACTTTCCAATGGAGGACAATTGGATTGCAAACTAAATTTTGATCTCCATGTTTGTCATCAACTCTTGAACACCCAGCCCAAAATTTCGCGTTCCTTTTAGCCATGGCTAAAGAAAAACTAAGAAAAAAAAACACACAAGTAAGGTAACTATAAAACTCATCATCAGCAAAAAACTCTAGACTGAACTCTGACTCTGTATCAGGCCCTTAAAATTTTTCACTGAAAAATTCGGACCAAAACGCATCCCCAATAGAGGAAAGAGTGTGGTTTTCTGCTGGCTGAGGAACGAAAGAAGCGAAAAACTTTTTTCTCCCACACGGATGGGAGTTTAAGTTCGAGTGTGCGGGGAGTCTTCAGGTCACATGGTGTTTCAAAGTTCAGTTATTTTTGTTGCCATGATGCGCTGCAAAAGTATGGGCGAGATTGAATAACATTTGACCAAAATGAAGAAAAATTTCACTTATAAAGCACTTTATTAGATTTGGAGACTTTTTACCATTTTTCCAGAATTTTTCCAGGTCTGGAAAACTGGTGGGGAAATTTCAATCCTTTTTCAAGAATTCAAGACTTTCAGAACCCTGTGTATTGGGAATTGAAGTAGTGTCGTATTTTTGGTTGTTCTAGCCAGCAAAAAAAGATGGATCCTAAAGACTTTCTTTTGATGCCGCGCATCTATGATTTCCAGTTTTGTAAAAGAAAAAGTGATGTCTTCGCGCCTGTCGCGCGGGTCCCTGCTTAAGCTATCTGTTATAAGCTAACTTACAAATCAGCGAATCACAGAGCCTGTCCAGTTCAGCTTTACTTTCACCCTCAGTAGGTTCAATCATTAAGGCAGTCGACACTGGCCAAGTTACAGTGGGTGCATGGAAACCTAAAAAAGCCAAGGAGACGTGGGTTATAATAAGAATTTAATAACAAATGCCTAATAAATTTATCCTCTTCCAGTAAGGAGCTTTTCAGCGATAATAAAACGAAAATTTCAAACTGAAAATAACAAGGTTAACAATCCCAATTGCTAGGGGGCGAACCAGGTGGCTATCTCAAGAACGTGGCCGAGAATGTGACCTTGGGATAAACGAGGAAGGCATCCAGTTAGCGGTCAGGGTGGGACTCGGGGCCTCCGGATTACAACTCCAGCGCCCTGGCCACTCAGCGACACTGCTTCCCTTGATAACGATGTAATTTGTACACAAGACAACCATGATTCACGAAAAAACACGTATTACCTTCATGGAAACAGAATTTTCGCAATGTTTCTATTGTGTCTTTTTTTCACTAGTGGCGGACAATTCCTCAGTTTGTTCTAATTGTTTGTTTGTTTGATTGTTTGCTTGTTTTTTTCCAAAATGTAAATAATATTGGTTTAATGACTGATAACTGAGCTTTTTACTTTGAATAATAATAGGAGACTAAACTGTAATGTTATTTAACTGCTAACCTCATGTCATTTTCATGAGTCCATCATGGGCTTGTGCGGTCAGCTCCTCGGGTAGATGCAATTTCTTCTCAAAGCATACACTTCTTTATCATGTGGCAGGACGAATTCCAAAAATGGACCGAGGTAAAGATAAAAACTAATCAGGAAGAAAATATTGTGTGTGCATGCTACCTATGGTATATTAATTGTTATTATTTTTGGGTTATTTATTTATTTTTTTTGTCGTTTTTTATAATTTTGTAATTTTTTTTGCATTTTTTTAAATTAAGAAATGATATTAATCCGTTGTTTGTGGCTTGCCACAACAACAGATCTTTGTTAACCACGAAAAAAATCGACGAACACAGGATTTCTGCAAAAAAAAAAACAAACAACAAAAACAACAAGGTTAAAAATCAGGTGTTAATATATTATTGTGAAAACCTCAATGTATATAGTATCCCAACGTCTGCGCGGGAACGGACTGCGACAATGTAAACACAGTCTCCTGTGAAATGCTTAGAATATTATGCTAAAAATGTTTAGGTAGCATTCATACTCTTGCTTCTATTTAAAAGAGCGGCTATTTCTGTAATGAAGCGAAACTGTGCCCGGCCGATCGCGAGACCTCGTACATCGGATGGGTTAAGCGCCGCATATTGGTGCAGCATGATCAATTATTTGGACCTTTTAAGAGCGGAAGCGATTTTAAAGTTTGACGGAGGACTGTAACTCAATAAGACGGAAGTAGATATCAGCTGAGACTTAAATCACCAAAGCCACCCAAAGCCTCTGGGCAATCACACTATAGCACAACAAGAGTTCGTTGTGTTCTTGTGTGCCCTGAGGTGTGTGTAGGGGGAGGGGGGGGTAGTCCCTCATATAAGTGATATAGTTACGTGCAGCCCCATTCGGGTAGGGTTTTTGCGCCGTTTTGGTCTGAAAACGGGTATAAACTTTGCTTATGCATTTTGGTCTGTCTAAATCGGGTATCGTCTTCGAGATAACTAAGGGAGTATATGAACGTATTCATCGTTTTAATTTACAAATGAGTAAGAAAGAAAGAGAAATATGGATCAATAATATGGATAAAAAGAAATTGTGCTGCAGGCCCTTCCCCCATACTTCCTTGCGGATCCATTCCCACTGTGCTACAGAATCTTGGCGTGCTTACCTTTAATTTGGAGCTTTTTCCCTCAAACATAGCGGGCGATGTACTGTCTTCATCCTGCACTGATAAGCTTTCGCAGTGCTCGTTGTTTTCTCTTACTCTCTCTTCCTTTTCGCAGTGCTCGTTGTTTTCTCTTTCGTTCTCTTCCTCGTTGGCCTGTTCACAGGCAATTTCTTTTCTTGGTAGGATCTGAAGTTGGTTTCTTCGTTTGATCAGCATTTGTGGGCTCCATAGAAGCGCCATGTTTTGGTTTACAATACGGATCGCGGGACTTTCTGATTGGTTGTTACCATAAATCAAAATCCGTTCTGCGCCACCAAAGTTGATCGGCTGGAGCATAGAGAAACAGTAATCCACGGCTGGTTGGAGCGGGATCGCACTTATTGAAACAGGAACAGCTGCCGGCGATGGAGAAGTCAGCGCGTTTGTGTACATTAGATAACCGTTTTGTAGACTGTGGAGAGGAGCTTTAGGCTGCATAGTCGAAAAAGGGATAGCCAGGGTGGATGTAATGTTGTCATTGTACACGGTGTCACTTCTTGTCTCCCAAGTATACCTTTCCAGCAAACCAAAGTAGGCATCTTTAAATAATATATATTCGTTATACATTCGCTGGCCAACGCGAAACCATGATGTAAAGCCCTTTTCCAACAAAAGATAGTGCCTTTGAAGGCGTTCCAAATGAAACTCCAGAATATTATTTTCAGCTTTCGTCTTTTCATACAGTTTTTTAAACTCTTCTCTCTCTTGCATTGTGGCCACTAACATCTCTTCCTTGTATTCAGCATAACTCTGCCACTCCATGAGTTTTCTCTCTAAGTGAATTCGTTTAGAGCTTTGTACTCCACATTCCTCACGCAACGTCTTTTTCTCCTCTTCTAAAAGTCTGATTTTGTCTTTTAACTCGCGATACGAAGGCATTTTAAAATATTTTAAACACGCAAATAGAACAAGCCAACCGCCAAAAATATTAGTCGCTGATTTTTGTAGGTTAATTTAATGACGTCATAATCAGCTTTCCCCTGCTTGACTTCTTTTGCGCGCGCATGATAGTGTACTGAAGAACCCAGAGACTGCGATCCTTTTGGTCAGCACCATGGGACAAACCTCAAGGGTTAAATCGGAAAAAAAGTCATCACTGATTGGCTGATAAAAATGTGTTCATCGGATGCTAATTACTTTGCAAATCCAAAAAATGTGAGCCCATTGTTTTGATTTTGATTTTGACGTACATGCTGTGCCTAGCTAGCGGATCTTGTTTGGCGATGAGCGCGCAAATGAGCTGAGATGAAACTGATCAAGAAATTAATTATCACTGATTTCAAGTCAGCGTCATCAAAAGTTTAAATGGCTCAAGCTGCGCTGGTTTTCTATATTCATTGGAATATTTATTCTTGTTGCTCCCAATTCTTCTTGTTTTTAAGGATCGTAAGCAAAGACGACTGAAACAGCAGCGAAAACTTCACCCCAAAATAGGATTTGCACTGTTTCAAATTTCATCGCTCTTATTCCAACTCTTCTAGTTTATTTGTCATTGGTTGGGTTTTTTTCCGGAGTTGAATTCTAAAGGACTTTATCTAACTTCACAAGAGAAAAAGAAAATCGTTGTCTTGTGTTCCCGTCCTTCATGTTCCAATAAATTTGCATAGATGATGGCCACGTGAGTGAAAACACTCTATAGACTGATTTTACTTGAAACCGTGAAATAGGTAATAAGATACTACGCACTTTTATGCACTAATTCTATTGTCTTCTTTTGTTTACTTCCGCTACTTTGCACTATTTAGTTAGTATCTGTTTCACGGTTAGAGTAAAATCGCTCTTAAAAAGACAAGAAATAGAACTTACCTAATTACATTGCGGCTAAGCTTGCGTTTGATTGGGAATTCCCGATTTCGATTTTGAAATCCGGATTTTGGATTTTGCAATCGAACGCAAAATCAGAAAAAGTATTTCACCTCCGAGAAGTCCGTCCTCAGGGTGGATTTCAATGAAGAAATCCAAATCCGGAATTCGTGGATTTCCTTTTTACCGTTCGCTTGGGAAATCCGAAAAAAGATTTGCAAAACTACTTTCGTGAACAGCGGTATTTTTTTTTGCTAATTATGCGTGCTTGTGCAAGACCGCTGTTCTTAACAATTTTTTCAAATCCTTTCTCGGATTTCCCAATCAAACTGTGAAAGGGGAATCCAAAAACAGATATCTCAGCGTTGAAATCCGTTTTCGGATTTCGCGTTCGATTGCAAATACGAAATTCGGATTTTAAAATCTAAATCTAGATTTCCCAATCAAACGCGATGTTGCTGAGGTTTCATTCCAGAAAATTTCAACGTTTCGGCGGCTGTTGCAATCGCTACTTTTGAGATATGCGGCCGAAAATGTATAGAATACCGAATTTTTAATAAGCTCTTTCAGTTTCAACATCATCTCCCCCAAAGCGAATTGCTAGTTGTTTTACAGGAACTGTTTTCATGGACCTTTTTAATGCGTTCAACACCGTGGATCATCATCTGCTATTATAATTAAAAGCTGACGAACATCGATCGTACTTCCGCCCCCACCTACGATACAGCATCACAACAGGTCACAAATCACATCAGTTGGGCATGCACACTCTGCACCTACCGAAATGCCTTTTGGGGTACCCCAAGGTAGTAAATCAGGACCTCTACTGTTTTTGATTTACGCAAATGATCTTGCAGATTGCCTTTTGGCAAGTGATATAGCCAGTGCCAGGCTCCCAATCAAAGCGTCAAAAGGTGCGGTGTAGGAGAATATCACATGCTCGACATGTTTGTTAGACTCTGTGCACGCGAAACCAAATGCTTGACTAAGTGTTGAAGTAAACTGTCACTATTGACCAATCATAGGGTATACGAGGAGCTGGTATACCGGAATGAGGTATTGAAAGCAATGTTTACAGGCTCCATTTTCCCGTCTCTCCCCCACCCCCTCGCGGTTTTTTCACGCAAATTTTCTCGATCCGCTTCCCTCAATATCTTAGAGCCTGGAAAAGGATACAAGTGATGTTATTCTTTATATGTATCAGTCTACATTCACGTCGCATGTGGATCGCACGTGATTCGCAAAGCGCGGCAGACACTTACGTTGGCTGTATTTCTATGTCTTTGTTGGTGCCTGCAATGACGTCATAAAGCGACGAACTTGGTCCGTTGATTTTGCGGCCGTTTTGGCGATCAGAAAATACTTTTAGCTTTGAATTTCGACAACAGAAGTATTTTACCGAGAAACTTGAACAAATTGGAATAGCAGCTTCAAAATAAGAGCAAAATTCAAGTTAAAGATGTTTTTCAGTGCCGTCTCACTTTCACATGTGAGTTTACTTATGTCCGCTTGCCTGCATATCGAGGTGCGTTTCATTTCGGCTTTTTACTTTTAACCCAACTTGCTGAACTTGAGTGATGCTATTAAAACCTAGTTTCACGAAAACTGGGGAAAAAAAACAGAGGAGCAAATTTTCCGAATTTAGATTCGTAGCTGTAAAGGATGTTTTGTTTTAGTGTCAAACTCTGCCACAGTTGACCCAATTAGGCTGCGAATGCTACTTATTCCGGATTGACGATTTCGCGTCGGCTTCTAGGACAGATTTGTTGGACTGGCAATGCATCAAGGGAAATCCAAAACGCCTCGCCGATTTTACTAAAAATACCTGTAAAGTAAAACCTCTTGAAGCTGAGGGATAAAGATGACAAGGCTAAGCGAAAATAAATCTGATAAAAAGACAAGCAAAAACAAAAACAAAAACAAAAAATTACTAATTGCTCAGCCGAGAATCGAACCTGAGTGGACAGGGGAATAAAATGGATGTCAAATCAACAAATAAAATGTTATTATGTGTAGCTTTTTCTAATAAATAGTCGAACATACATTGTTAGTAGTATAGTGGGCATGAACTAATTCTTCTAGTGCAATATATACTTTTTGTAAAATGCACAGAATTCAAACTACAGTGCGTGTTTCAGGATCAGATTAATAAACGTGGGAAATTCAGAAGTGGTCCATTTACACGAGCCGTTAGCTTTCCTTTTCAAGGAAACAACTGCCGCCAATTTTTTATTCTGATGGCTGACTCATCGTAGATGACTTAAAAGGAAGGATATGGTGGGTAAGAGGAGGGGAAACACAGCAAAAGACGATAAAAGATGAACGCGAAAAATATTTAAGCGAACATTTTTGGGTACAATTTTAATTCAATTATTAGAGTACAATCTTAATTCAATTATTAGAGTACAATTTTAATTCAATTATTAGAGTACAATTTCAATTCAGTTATTAGAGTACAATTAAAAGACAATCTTAATTCAATTATTAGAGTACTATTTAAATTCCGTTGCTATAAGAGTACAATTTCAATTCAATTATTAGAGTACAATTTCAAATATATTTAGTGGAAGCTAATAAATTTGTCGTACACGTGTTCTCCCCTCGTAAGTAGTATAGTAGGGGCTGACTACTCCGGGTTTATTTAAGGAGAATCTAGAAAAAGAAACTTTATTTTCTTTTCAACCTACTCGATCTATTCCGTAATCCGAGTGCTCCCAAGTGCCTCAAAGATAGACTTAACTCCTCTCCGTTTCTGGGCCGTCTTACAAGAGCCTCTCTTTATGACCTTAAGGTGCCATAGCCACATAGCAAATCTGGGAAACGCACAAACATTGGCCTTCACAGTGCTTCTAAACTTTTCAATGATCTCAATTCTGACCTTGAAGAGTGTAAGGAAGTTATTGCGTCATTATGACGGGAAAACTCGTCACGTTATCTGAGAACTGAACTTTGCACAAGAGTCTAGAAACTGTCTAGTTGTTCGGAGGCGATTTCCTCTCTTTAGGATATTTTTTTTTTATATCGTTTTCGACGATTTGTTTCTGAATTGAGTACGCGTGTATAATAATAATAATAATAATAATAATAGTAACAACAATAATAATTTTTTGTTTACTATTATTTTTATTATTTTATTTTTTTAATTTATAAATATAGTAATTTTATTGAACTTTAAAACAATATGTACATAATTTATAAAAATCTTTGAACTAAGAATTAAGCACTATAGAGTGTTTTTACTCACGTAGCCAGCATCTATGCAAATGTTATTGGAACAAAAGAAAGCCTTTTGGATAAGAAAAGAGTTCAACTCCCACGGGACTGGCATGTTGGCGGTTTTATTGTTTTGAGACTCCAATATGGCCGCCGTGACGTCATGTGAAAACACTCTATCTAACATTAAGAATTATATAAATCATAAAAATAGCAATCACTGTGTCAATAACGATTTCGCAGATATATTCCTTGCGGCTCAGATGCGGTCAATCACTCTTGCAGGCAGTCCAAAGTTTTAAATTAAGTCATTACAAAATAGAATTATCCGTCTCTGATATTAAAAAGAAAACAAGTTAAAAAGAATAAAATCTCGTATTCCTAAATTCCTAATTCTTTAAAAAAAGATCCTTAAAAAGATTAATTCGGGCAGGCTCTAACATTATCGATCTGTAGGTCTAAGTCAACAAAGTCTGGCTGTCTTATTCTGGATCTTGAGCTTCTCAAAAATATTATCGCAAAGCGTACGATGGCGAAAGATAGTTTAGCTCTTATCCAGGAAATTGCGCTTGAGTAACTTTCTCCCTTCGTATTTGCGATCAGCTCTGTGGTCGTCAAAACTAGCGGAGTGAACGTTCCCTGTTCGATCTCCATTACTCTTTCCGCATACTGCCTCTTCTTCTCGTTCTCATGCTTCTTGTAGATCTGCTTAGGAGTCAAGTCTCTGTAAGAGTCTGCATTAGGGTGACACACCCGAACGTCGAAGAATGCAGATTTCTCTCTCTCACCAAAACCTCGAGCATGAATATCCAAACGGGCATCAGGGCCTTTTGTTAGCGCCATGATTTAATGTCTCCCCAGTG